ATTTTATGTGTATTCGTGTATTGCCTGCATGTAGGTAAGTGCACCCCTGTTGTGCAATTCTGCGGCAATCAGAAGAGGGCTTTGGATTCCCCTGGAACTGGAGTTAAGGACAGTTCGTAGCTGCCATGTGGGTGCTGGGAATCAAACCAGGGTCCTCTGCAAGAGCAGTCAGTGCCATCTCTCCAGCCCCTCAGCCTGTTTTCTTATACAACCCATACTACCTGCCCAGGGGTGGCACTGCCCACAGTGGGCTGGGCCCTCCCACATGGCTTAGCAATCAAGAAATGCATCACAGGCATGCCCACAAGCCAGTCTGATAAGAGGAAATTCCTCAGTTGAGGTTCTCTCTTCCCAATTGTGTCAAGTTGACAACCAAAGCCATCCATGACACTGTGCCACAGCTCAACATTATTTTCCCCACCATCCCCTCCTCCCACTACTGAGCGCACCGCCCAGGTTAACATTCATATTTTCTGCACTTTCTTTGCCCTCTTTTTGCCCAACCATATGTGAATGAAGCCTTTGATGATGATAGTGATTTCCTTTGGGTTTTCAGTGGTACTAGGCAGCAGCAGTTACCCACTGGGTACGTATTTGGAATACAGGTGGGACAGCTCTGGGAGAAAGCAGTCCCTGTGATCTACCTGTGACCCCAAGGTTGCAGCTTCTTCACAAGTGCAGCTGTACACTCTGAAGAGTGTACAGTGATTTGGTTTTCATTTTTAGCCGCTCATGACTAATGTCTTTGAAATCTCTTTTATAGATCCTGGAGTTAAGATCTATGGCTGTGCGTTGCCGCCTAGAGGCTCGGAAGGATCTGAGGTGTGTTGGAACAGAATGTGTTATTTTATGATTGTGAAGTTTTAGGGTTACAGGCCAGGGATGTAGCTCATTGGCACAGCACATGCCTAGAGTGTGTAAAGCCTTGGGTTTGATCCCCAGCATTGAAAGAAAGTAAAAACCTGCCAAGCATGTTGGTATATACCTATAATCTCAATGCTAGGTAGGTTGAGGCAGGAGGAGCTCAAGTTCTAGGCCAGTCTGAACTATGTAATGAGACCCTGTCTCAAAAAACAGAGAGGGCCAGTGAGATGACTGGTGTGTAAAAAGTGCTTGCTGCTAAGCTTGACCACCTCAGTTTGATCCCCAGGACCCATTATGGTATAAGGTGAGAACTGATCCCTACAAGTTGTCCTCTGACCACTTTATAGTACATGGGCCTATATCCATACTGAAAATAAATAAATATAATAAAAAAATTAAAAAAGCAACGATAAACATAGCCCGACCCTAAGCAAAAAAGTATTAAGGTTGGGGCTGGAAAGATGGCTCAGTGGTTAAGAGCACCAGCTGCTCTTGCGGAAGACCTGGGTTCGATTCCCAGCACCCACATGGTGACTAACAACCATCCGTACTCCAGTTCCAGGGGAATCCGATGTCCTCTTCTGACCTACACAGGCAATACACTCATAAGTAAAAAAATAAATAAAATATTAAAGAATATTAAGATCATAAACAATTTTAGGTTTCTATTGAATCTCATTGCCATGAAATACCCACACTGAAAGCTACCCTTGCTATGTCAGAGGGAGTGCTCAGCAACAGGCTGGCACTGCAGAGAGCCTGGCAGCACTCCTGTGTGGTTATTTCTCGTGCTGGGGGTTGGGCCTGGGGCCTTGTGCCTGCTAAGTGTGTGCTGCATCTTTGAACTACACTCCTTTGCCGTTCAGGTTCTTTTATTTATTTATTTATTTATTTATTTATTTATTTTTTGTTTTTGGTCTTTTTGAGGCAGGGTCTCTCTGTAGTCCCAGCTGGCCTGGAACTCACTATGTAGACCAGGTTGGACTTGATCTCACAGAGATCTGCCTGCCTCTGCGTCCCAAGAGCTGGAATTAAAGTTGTGTATCACCACACTTTGCTTTATTTTTGTTTTTAATTATATGTATTAGTGTGTGTGTATGTCTGTAAGTGGGTTTGTACACATGAATGACGGTGACTGTGGAAGCCAGAAGAGGGCATCAGGTTCCCTGGAGCTGGAGTTACCAGCAGTTATGAGCCTGCCAGATGTGCGTACTGGGAACCAAACCTGAACCCTCTGTAAGAGCAGTACAGGCACTTAACCACTCAGCCATCTCTCCAGCCCCTGGTTCAGATTCTTATCATGGAGTTGCTTCTGTTAGTGTCATTTGGCCAGGGATGAGATTTACTCATTTGTAATAGCATGAATGCAAGTTTGATAATGGTTCTATTTGGAATTAATCACTGTACTCTAAAATAGCACTTTACACCCTGCAGTGACTCACCTTAATTCTTCAAATATTTGGAATAGGATGAAGATGATGACTACTTACCTGATAATGTGACCTTTGCCCCTAAAGATGTCACACCTGTGGATTTTACACCTAAAGATAATGTACATGGGCTAGCCTACAAGGGCCTGGATCCCCACCAAGCACTGTTTGGAACTCCGGGAGAACACTTGAATTTTTTGGGTGGAGGATCTGAGGGGGCCAGCAATCTTCTTGGAAATGTTGGACTGAGTAAAGGAAGAAAACTGGGCATTTCAGGCCAGGTAAAAGTGTTTGCTTTCTAAAGGAAGAGCCACTGATAAATACAATACACTTTCCATGTTGGATGGACCCCAGGGTAGATGCTCCTTCTTCACTGATGGAAGGCTTTGAGACTTTGAAGTACTTTTCTTCTTCTTTATTTTATTTTATTTTGTTTTTGTGGTGCTGAGGCCAGGACCTTGCGCGCACACTCTGCACTGAGCTGCACCCTCCGCCCCAGGCTTTGTCTTCCTGAAGGTCATTTCTAGGCACCTGTGAAGCCGACCTTCCTGATTCTCATAGTGGTTCCTGAGAGCCAGCACTGTTCGTGGTGGAGACCCTGTGTTCCAGGAGGAGGATTGCTTTCCCCTCCTGGTGGGACCAAGCAGAAAACTACCCTTCCTGCTTAGTTTTAGTCTAATTGCAGTCTGAGGCCTGCAAGATGGCTCAGCAGATAAAGGTGCTTGCTGTGCAAGCCTGGTGATCCAAACTTGATCTTCGGACCCCATGTAAAGACAGGAGAGAATTGACTCTACAAAGTTATCTTTTGATTTATGCAAGCATGCATGCATACTATAGCATGAGTGTGCCTGCCAGTGAGCGCACGCACAGACACAGAGACACACAAATAAGTAAACTAAATAGATAAAATAAGTAAATAGTTGCAGTCGGCCATGGTGGTGCACACCTTTAGTCTTAGTCCCAGTGCTCAGGAGGCAGAGGCAGGCAGATCTCTGTGAATTCAAGGCCAGCCCGGTCCACATGGTGAGTTCCAGGCCAGCTGGGGCTACAGGGAGATCCTGTCTCAAAAAGACCAAAAAAAAAAAAAAGAAAAAGAAAAAAGTTGCAATTTGTTTTCCATGCTTAGATCCAAGTTAGACAAGTTAGATACCTCTTGCTCCTCCACACCTTGAGTCAGGAACACCTGGGTAATTTTTATTTTAGATTTGTTTTTCAGGTTTGGAAAGATGGAGAACATTTGATTGCCTGTTTTCTTAGATTGAATTACAGTTCTTTCTTAAAAAGAAAGTGGCTGGTTACTTTGTTGTCCCATTACCTCTTCTTTCTAGGCTTTTTTCCCATTGTTTCAACAATAACAAACTTGTAAGAAGTTGTTTCCCACAAAGACAAGGATGTTTACAGCTGCCATTAGCGTGGCAGTGGTCTTCATGCCCTAGATCACACTGATCAGGAGTCTCTGCCTTTCTCCTTTCTGAGGCCCTGCTTCTGCCTCTTCAGTGCTGTGTAGGTGTTCAGTCCTCCCGTGCTAACGCCTGGGCTCCTGGCTGCTGCTAGGGCTGAGGATTCAGCAGGCCACAGCATTCACTTCTGGTCATTGCTTCCAATAGACCTGAGGCTGTTTAAAATTCTTTTTTGGTTTATTTATTTTTATTTTATGTGTTTGAATGCTTGGCCTGCGTGTGTGTAAGTGTACCTGTGAGTGCAATGTCCGCAGAGGGCATCAGATCCTCTGGAACTGGAGTTATAGCTGGTTGTTAGCTGCCATGTGGGTGCTGGGAACCAAACCTTAGTCTTGAGGCTGTTTTAATCTGGGGCTCCCACTGGCTTCTCTCTTAGTGATCTGGAAGTGCTAATGTAATCTCCTCTGCCACGTCCTTAAAGCAGCTTTCTCCTTCAATGCAGACAGACCCTAAAGTCTATGAGCTCTGTGTCTGAAACCTTGTTCTTCAGGCTTTTGGTGTGGGTGCCCTGGAAGAGGAAGATGATGACATCTATGCCACAGAAACTCTGTCCAAGTATGATACTGTGTTGAAGGATGAGGAACCTGGAGATGGACTTTATGGCTGGACAGCACCCAGGCAGTACAGAAATCAGAAAGGTAATTGTAGCACCAGATGGGAGGACCAGTTGTCAGGCTCTCAAGAAGAAGGGAGTGCAGGGTCTGGTCCTGGCGTGTCGCCTTCCATAAAGCAAGAAATTGTTGGTCAAAGATACAGGGTGAAAAACAGTGGGAGCTGGTGCGGTGGCTCATGCTTGTAACCAGCACTGGAGGCTGAAGCAGGAGGAGTGCCGTGCATTTGAGGCTGACCTGGATTACACAGTGAGTTCCAGGCCGGCCTGGCCCATGGTATGTGGGATGTAAGAATGAAGTAGGGTTTAGGCCAGGCAAAGTTAAATCCAACAGTGAAGATGGGGGTGCACTGGGGAGCCTGGAGAGGGCTGGATCAGAAAGTACTGTGTGGTATGTGAACAGGTGCTGTGTTGCTGGTCAGAGCTGGCGGTGAGACAGCCGGAAGGACTCAGTTCAAGGAACTGGTAGGTGGCTAAAGCAAGCCAACTCAAACAGCAGGTTCAGGTCAGAAGACCAGCCTTGGGGATCAGGTAGCAGGATCGCCAGCCGCCTGCAGCATGATGGAGCTTGGTACAGCCTGTCTCTCCCTTGAGGTCCCGAGGACCTATGTCAGCATCAGACTTGGACACCTCTCAACACAATTTTTCCTTTTATTTTATTATTATTATTTTTTTTTGGTTTTTTTGAGACAGGGTCTCCCTGTAGCCCCAGCTGGCCTGAACTCACTAAGTAGATGAGGCCGGCCTTGAACTCACAGAGATCCTTCTGCCTCCACCTCCAGACTGCTGGGATTAAAGGCATGTGCCACCACGCCTAGCATCTTTTCATTTTACTTTTTTGTAGTTAGGGTCTCACTGTGTTAGTCTAGACTGGCCCCAGAGGTGCCATCTTCATGCCTTCACCTCTCAAGTGTTGGAATTATTGGCCTCTCTCAACACAACTTGAATCTCAAATCAGGATCTGTGGTGATTCAGATCCTGTGGTTAAACTGGTATTTCAGTTTTGCTTTCCAGAAATACTGTACAGGGGTAGATCATGTAGGAGATCAGTAACATGTAATTTGGAGTAATCAGACCTGGGTTTGGATGCCTACTCTATGCCCAGTGGGTGGCCTTGGTTAAGGCACCTAACCTCCCCAGACACCAGGGATTTCCTTTCTAAAGTGAGGCTAAGTTCCATACCAGAGGTTGTGAGGATCAAATGGCATCACTAGGTATTTGGTGCATAGATCCACTGACTAGATAAACAGCACCATAAGCTAGGAATATAGCTCAGTGGGAGAGTGCTTTTCTAGCAAGTGCAGTCGCGAGGCTCAATCCCAGTACCCTCCCAACCCCACTTCCAAAGATGTATAACAGTCACATATTATACATTGTAACTACTATAAATTTTGTAAATATTATTGTGTTATAATTAATATGAAGTATATTAACCTATTATATTAATTATGTTACATAGCTAATATATTGATACCTTGACAGTATGTATGTTAATTATATAAATGGTAAAGTCCTGATTACTAATTGAGCATGCTTTAGAAACTGATGGGAGAATGAGATTGATAATATCTATATTAGTTATGTCAATAACCAATATATACATTAACATCAACCTATTAATATTATAGTAGTTAATAGTGTATGATATATACTATATGTTAATAATGCATACATTATGGATATATTTAAATCTACTGCCTGAGGCAAGTCTTTCACTTACACAGCACCTTTGTCCTGCTGTTGGGTTCCCCTTTTCCCCCTATGAAGCCTGAACAGACCCTCCCTGAGCTGTGGAAACTCCCTGCCATGCTTCTGTGACCTGTCTCCCACAACCATCTCTCCCCTCCCACTCCCAGGGCTACAACACCTACAGTTCTGACTGTGTGGGTTTGGAGATTTTTTTTAATTAGCACATATTAATTGCACAAACTATATATTTCTGTATTTCTTTTTATTGAGTGGATATTTCTTTATTTTACCCAATCTCCATAGTTGACTTTTAAATTGTTCTTATTTTCTTCCCCAATTAATGAGGCTGTACTGAATCTGCCAGTGTGCATACCTACTCTGCAGGAAGTCCTTTTGAGTGACAGGACCTTGTCCACGTGGTTATCTCTGTGGCCTGTGGACCATTCTCCTCCAAGTCAGAGGGCATTGGTCACTCCATTTCCTGCATTTGTGGTCTTTATCTGCAGTTCGGTTTCATTTGCTACAGTTTATCCTAGGGTGAGATCACAGCTTACCTGATTGTGCTGCTCTGGAGGCTTATTTGGGTGGTTGCTAAGGAAGCTGGGAGGCGATTGTCCCAGGGCCTCTTGTAATTGGGATTTTCCTTTTTGCCTTTTTGAATGCTTTTCTTTGAAAATATTTTATTATTTACATTTTATGTGTATGAGTGAGTGTATTTCCTGCATCTGTGTCTTCAGTGCCTGAGGAGATCAGAAAAGGGCATTGGAATTCCTCTGGAACCGGAGTAACGGACAGTTGGTAGCTGCCTTGTGGGTGCTGGGAACTGAATCCCAGTCCTCTGAAAGAGCAGACAGTGCTCTTAACAGATGAGCCATCTCTCCAGGCTTCTGGAGGCTTTTCTTAAGATGCTTAGTCTAAAGAGTGGCCTGATGCCCTTTTTCTTTTCTTTTTTTTTCTCTTTTCCTTTGGGAGGAAGGATTTGGGGATTTATTTTAGCTTATGTTTTTCTGAGGCGTCAGTCCTAAGTTTTTGTTCCCTCGATATGATTCTGGGCTCCTGGTAAAGTAACATCATGGTGGTGGGAGCCTGTGGAAGAGGCTGCCCATCTTAGGTTCTTGCCCTGAAGACAAGGGTACTTGCCTTGGGAGGCCTAGGACAGCTGTCATAGCAGCTAATCAGCTGAGGGTTTAGGCTGAGCCACCAGTCACTGTGTCAATAGAGGTGTGAAGCTTGGAAGCCATTATGCTCCCCCCCCCTTCCCAGGGATCTCGCCTGTGACGTATACTATTTATGTTCTTGGAGATAAGAAGTCTTTTGTCTCTCTATAATCATGGTCACTTCTGGAATTAATCAATGATGTCGTTTTGTAGAACCAGAGCGAGATCTTCGATACATTGGCAAAATTTTGGATGGATTTTCCTTGGCTTCTAAACCTTTATCTTCAAAGAAAGTAAGAAAAATTTTGTATTAAAAAATCATTTTACTGGTTTGGTGCTTATAATATTTATTTCAATATTTACTTATTTTTGAGTGATTAATTGAACTATATTAATGTACTTATGGATAGAGATTTGTTATTTCTTTATGCATTATTATTTCTTTAAAATTCTTTAGAAGAAAGCTGAGTGTGTCTATAAATTCCATCACTTGGGAGACTGAGGCAGAAGAATTGTGTTCTAAGCCAGCTATCAAAAAAAAAAAGAAAAGAAAAAAGGAAGCCAGGCATGGTGATCCACACCTTTAATCTCAGCACTCTGGAGGTAGAGGCACGGGGATCTCTGTGAGTTCCAGGCCAGCCAAGCCTTCATAGTTAGACCCTGTCTCAAGAAAATAAATAAATAAACATTTAAAAATAATTTTTAAAAAGGCTGGGGACATAGCTCAGTCAGTGCTCAAGGATCTGAATTTGATTCCTAGAACCCATGTGAAAAAATCTGAATGGGAGCTAGAGAGATGGCTCAGCCATTAAGAGCACTTCCTACTCCTGCAGAGGGCCTGGGTTTGGCTTGTACATTAGGGTTCATAACTGCCTGTAACTCTACTTCCAGGGGATCTGATGCCCTTTTGTGGCCTCTGAAGGCTCCTGCATGCATATGGTGCACATAAAGTCAAACTCTTGCAGGCACATATACATGCACATAAAAATAATCAATCACTTACTCAATCAGCCTTTAAAAAATGCTGGGTAAGGTGGTATGTACTTTTAATCCCAGTGCTGGGGAGGTAGAGATAGATGGATCCCTATGGCTCACTTGCCAGCCAGCCTAGCCTACTTGACAAATTCTAGGGCAACCCTTCCTCAAAAAAAAAAAAAGAACATCAGAGGTTGTCTTCTGGCCTCCCACAAGCACATTCATACACGTTCATATGCACACACACACGTGCAAAAATTTTCTGCTATATAATCTGAATTCAAAACACAAAGGGCTCTTGCAGAGGACCCAGGTTTAATTCCCAGCACCCACATGACTTAAAACTACCCATAACTCCAGTTATAGGGGAGCTGATGCCCTCTTCTGGTGGTGCACATACAAACATGTAGGCAAAATACTCATGCACACAAAATAGAATAAAATAAAATCTTTAAAAAATATATACACACAAATTTTGTTTTTAAAAAAAAATCAGTGGCCTAGTTAATAGAGGTTGTCCTGATCCAGGCTCATTGCCTATAAACTGAGCACTTCGGAATCTGAAGTAGGTGAATTGTGAGTTCAAGGCCAGCTTGGCCTATATAGTGAGATATTGTCAAGGAAGGAAGGGAATGAGGGAGGGAGGGAGAGAGGGAGGGAGAGAGGGAGGAAGAGGGAAGGAAGGAGGGAGGGAAAAAGGAAGGAAGGAGACTGAATTAGAGATTTCAGTTACTAGTTATCTTGTGTTGAGAGCAGTTAATTGCTCATCTTTATTTTCAAATTATTTAAATTTTATTTTGTATTTTATGTGTATGAGTGTACTGCCTGCATGCATGTAAGTGCATTCATGTTGTACATGCTCACAGAGGTCAGAAGGGGGTGTTGGATCCCTGAAACTTCAGTTTCAGACAGTTAACAGCCATGTGGTGCTGGGAATCAAACCCAAGTCCTCTGCAAGAGCAGTCAGTGCTCTTAACCACTGAGCCATCTCTCCAGCCCAATTGCTCATCTTTTAAACCCAAATTTCAAGTGAGTGGCTATTTCCACTAAAAGAGATATTTCCATTAAAAGAGAGACTATGGATGTAGCTTAGTAGTAGATCTCTTTCCTAGGAGGAAAAAAAGAGCCCAAGATGTACATTAGAAACTGGAGGGAGAATGAAATTGATAAAATTCATGTAAATGAAGGAAAAAGTGAAAACTTTCAAAAAGCCACCAGAACTGAGCCCTGATTGCCCTGGAATGCTCCGAAGCCGGTGGGCTGCTTTCTTGGGGTCCTCGGCAGAAGCCGAGTGGAAGGGAAAGAAAGCACAGGCAGGTGGGTCAGATCCCAGGGAGCAATCTGCTTGTCACCCTGCGCAGTCTGGTTTTCTTGAGAGTTTGTTATAGCCACATGTGAAAATGTGCTAAGCTGTGCTCTTCCTTGACCTCCCACAAAAGCCTGGTGCTTTCAGGCACATTCTCAGCGTTAGCTCTGGGTGCTGGCCAGTTCAGGAGGGACCACCTGGCCATTTGCCTTGCTCATACTCCTTGTTTAGATTGTTCAAAACTTTAATCAGCTTTTCTCTTTTTTATTCAGCAAACATTTGTTAAGTACCTGGAAGATGTGGTCTGTGGGTTTTCATACTAGAGGAAGCCAGGAGTCAGTTCAGCCTGAAGAACTGCACTGGTATTTCAGCAGGTTTGGTTTGTTTAGTTGTGATAGTTACAGTGTTCTGACAGTGAAGAGAATAGAATTTAGCAGTGTTGGATGCATAGTAAGCTGCTAGTATTACCAGAAATGTCCAATAGCCTTAAAGGAGACTACATAAATGGAAACAGGCTGATAATGATCAAGGATTCCACTTAGTGCTCACAGGACTCTGCTTGGAGCGTAGCTCAGCAGTAGAGTTGCATGCATAGGAGAGAGCCTCCTGGCTTGGATTCCCCAGCACCAATCTTTTTTATGTAGCCTTTCACAGATGGACAGATTTTCTATAAGCCAGGCAGAACAATGACTTGGCAGAGGGAGAAAAATGCTTTGAATGTAATGGCAGATGTAAGGAGGCTCATGCACACACTGATCCTCCCTCCATCTTTCCTCCTTTCCTCTTTCCTCACTCACTGCCTTCCACCCTGAACATATCCAATATGTGTTCTACCGCTGATTTGTTTCCCAGCCTTCTCTGGACCTCTCTGTGAACGTACCACAAGGATATTATCTGGCCGATTTGGGAATCTGTATCAGAGAGGGTGACCAGGGTAATGATAAAACCTGCGGGCTGGAGTTAGAGTGATTGCCTGGTGTTCAGTTCCCAGCACCACAAAACAGAACCAAAAAATTTCCCAGATCATTAGAGGGCAGCTCAGTTTCTTTCAGATTAGCTTGATCTTTTGGAGATAAAGCTCAGAGATAGAACTTGCCTATCACTCATCAATAAACTGCAGCCCCTAAAAACGTGATTTCCCTGTAGTCCTAATTCCATTCCTTCCTGGGGAGCTGGGAAAACACCTATCACTGGGGGTGGGATGCAGACATCGGTATTATGAAAAGCCGTCAGTTTGGTGTGCACGTGGGTTCGAGTACCCTGATACAGGGCCAGTGCTTCGCCCACAGCAGAGTTCAGAGTTAACTGGAGTCCCACTTTGAGAAGCCTCAAAACTTAGAAATCGACATACATACAACTGTTGATCTTTGTTATACCGAGAGCAAAGGGCAAGAGAGACTGCTCAGTTGTTATTTCTAAATACCTAATGCTTGGGTTTGGGGATGTAGCTCAGTGACAGAGACCTGCCCCCCAACACACACACACGTGCACACATATACACACAACAAAACAAAAATAAAAAACACTTTTAACTTATCTATTCTGTCATCATTAATGCCTTCAGAATTATAAATTTCAAATTTCTGAAATGCATGTAAATTTGTTTTGTCAACTTTTCTTTTTTCTCAGGACTGAGAGTTGAACCTAAGACCTCATGTGTGCTAGGCAAGCACTTCACCACTGTGCTGCACGCCCAGTCTGCTCTTTTGTTGCTGTTCTGTTTTTTTGTTGGTGGGGTAATTACTGAGGATAGAGCCCAGGGTCTTGTGCCTGCTAGGCAAAGACTACAGTTGAGCTACATCCCCAGCTCTAGTCAGTTTCTGAATTAAAAAAATACCTTGAATCAAAAAGTAAGGTCTTGGGGACTGAAGAGATGGCTTAATGGTTAAGAGCACTGGCTGCTCTTGCAGAGGACCTGGGTTCAGTTCCTAGCATCCACATGACAGATAACAACCAGCCATAACTCCAGTTCCAGGAGCTCTGATGCCCTCTTCTGGCCTCTGAGAGCATTGCATGGCATGGGTGCACTTACATGCAGGCAATACACTCATACACATTAAAAAAAATACATACATATATATATATATATATTTAAGGTTTGGGGGATAGAGAGATGACTCAGTAGTTAAGGGCACTTGCTGCTCAACCCTGAGGACCAGAGTTCAGATCTCAACACCCATAAGCCCCTGTAACTCCAGCTCCTAGGGATCCACTCCCTCTTCTGATCTCCATGAGCACCTGTACGCACAGACACTCACACAGACACACACACATAAATAAAATAAAAATAAGTTAATTTTTAAAAAAGGTCTGAAGTTGCACTTTGGAGCTGAAACATAGGTAGAAAAAGAGCTCTGAATTTTAAAGTACCTAATTTCAAGTTGTGTTATGTTTTGTTTTGTTTGATTTTTTTGAGACAGGGTTTCCCTGTAGTCCCTGCTGGCCTGGAATTTGATAGTAGATCAGGCTGGACTTGAACTCACAGACATCCACCTGCCTCTGCCTCCCAAGTGCTGGGATTAAAGGCATGTACTACCATGCCTGGCATTTTGTTTGGTTTTTAAATGTTTTATTAATTTTTTTTATTTTATGTGTATGAGTGTATTGCCTGCATGTGTTTAAGTACACTTGAGGAGGTCAGAAGAAGGAGTTGGATTCTGAAGTTATAGATGGTTGTTAGCCACGTGGATGCTGGGAATCAAACCCAGGTCCTCTGCAAGAGCAGCCAGGCTCTTAACTGCTGGGTCATCTCTTCACCCCTGGGTGGTTTTTTTTTGTTTTTTTTTTTGAGACAGGGTCTCACTTTGTAGTCTTGGCTGGCCTGGAGCTCACGATGTAGACCAGGCTGGCCTTAAATGCACAGACATTGGCCTGCTCCCGTCTCTTAGGTGCTGGGATTAAAGGCATGTGGCACCTCACCCAGCTTTCCAAGTTATTTTTTTCGGAGTCTCCAGTCATGCTTTGTAAATGTTTTACCTTACAGTGGGCGTGGGCCAGGACACCACATTACTTCTTTTCATCTTTATTCTCATCATAGGAGACATTCATGGTAGCATCTCCGTAGAGGTGGGCGGAGTGACGTCACGTTTACATTGTGTGACCATTGGGATGGTATAGTTCTGGGGACCCTCCAGGGCCAGGCTGTTGGCAGCACTGCCTACCTGCTAAGTGTGCCCAGGGTGAGGCAGTGTCAATAGTGCTCTGCAATGATGTCAGGTTTGCCTGATCTTCTTGCCACTTATATTTCTGACTTTCATTTCGTCTTCTTTGTTAAGCTTTATCCGCCCCCTCAGTTGCCGAGAGACTATCGACCGGTGCATTATTTCAGACCTGTGGTCCCTGCAACCTCCGAGAACTCTCACTTACTTCAGGTGTTATCAGAGTCATCTGGAAAGGCAGGGCAAGACCCAGGGACATATAGTAGGCACCAACTGAATGCCTCCAAGCGGGGGCAGTTGCTAGGAGAGACGCCTATTCAAGGTATGTGCAGCGGTGGAGATTGAAATTGTGTTTACTATAGTCTTACCAATGACAAGTGGTAGTTTTCCCATTGAATTTCTTTTTTTTAATATTTTATTATATTATTTTTATTTTTATGTGTATGAGTGTATTGCCATGCATGTAAGTAAGTACACCCGTGTTGTGCAATGCCCGTAGAGGACAGAAGAGCATATCAGATTCCCTGGAACTGGAGGTATGGACAGTTGTTGGCTGCCATGTGGGTGCTGGGATTTGAACCTGGGTCTTCTGCAAGAACAACCAGTGTTCTTAACCGCTGAGCCATCTCTCCAGCCCCCTATTTAATTTCTTGATAGGCCTTTTGTATTCCCAAACCGTAGGAATCATTTTGTATATTGTGAACAGCATATGAAAGTGTACATTACCTTTGCTTTTTATTATTATTATTGTTATTATTATTTTAATTTATAATTTGTAGGCAAGCATGATAGTACACAGGTGAATTCCCCTTTTTGTTTTATGTGTATGAGTGTTATGCCTGCATGTGTGTAAGTGCACCCGTGTTGTGCAATGCCTGTGGAGGTCAGAAGGCATTAGGTTCCCCTGGAACTGGAGTTATGGATGGTTGTTAGCTGTCATGTGGGTGCTGAGTATCGAACCCAGGTCCTCTGTAAGAGCAGTCAGTACTCTTAATCACGGAACCATCTCTCCAGCCCCTGCTTTTTATTATTTTTGTTGTTGTTCTTTATGATTTTTTTGTTTTGTTTTGTTTTGTTTTTTAAAGACAGGGTCTCATATAGCCCAGGCTGACCTTAAACTTGCTACTATGTAGCCAAAGATACTCTTGAACTCTTGATCCCCCTGCCTATGCCTCTCAGGTGCTGCGATTATAGGTGTGTACCACCATGTTCAGCTTCTTCTTTGAAAATTTATTTAAATTTAAGTTGAATTAATTTATGTGTATTTGTGTGTGTCGTCTATGTGTGTGTATGTGCACGTTCACGTGAGTGCCTGTGGGGGCCAGAAGTTGGCCTTGTATCACCTGTAGCAGGAGTTATACGTGGTTGTGAGCTACCTGATGTGAGTGCTGGAAACCAAACTTCGGTCCCTGCACAAACAGAAAGTCTTCTTAAGTACTGATCCATCTCTCTAGCCCCTCTTTGATTTTTCTGAGACAGGGTCTCAGTATGTAGCCCAGGCTAGCCTCAGACTCATCACCCTTTTGCATCAGCCTCCCCAGTCCTGGATTACAGGCATGTGCCACAATGCCTGCCTCCTTCTTTAAAAACTTGTTTTTAATTATATTTATTTATTGTGTGTGTTTCTGGTATGCTTGCGTGCATGTGTGCTGAGCAACAGTGTGCATGATGGTCAGAGGACAACTTGTGGGTACTGGTTCTCTCACTCTGCTATATGAGTTCCAGGGATTGAACTCAGGCTGTCAGGCTTAGCAACAAGCACCCTCACCATCTGAGCCATCTCGCTGGCCCTTCCTTACTTCATAACACCTGTTTTTCCACCTTTGAATTGTGTCCTAAAATCATTTCCCTTGCCTTAAGAATGTGGTTAAAACCAGGGCCATGGGTGCTTCACCTTGTCTGTGCTGCCTGGGAAAGCATGCTTTTTCCCTCTGGGGAAATGACTGGGCAACTCCTTTCCTGAAAGTCTGAAAAAAGGAAGTATGTGTCTTAGAAGTCTGGAAACATGTGATACACAGAAACCACCATGAGAGGTGGCCTTAGGTGGCCTTGGCTGTCCAGGGCTCATGCGCGGCACCGTTGCCATTCCAGAGCGTGTTGCTGTCTCAAAATAACTGACTACACCAGAGCTCTTGGTGCTCTACGACCTTCCCCAAATCCTCTCACCTCAGTGAATGTGCCTCCATTCTGACCTCTGCTCAGACCTGAGTGGTCTGAGTCCCTCATTCCCTCGAAAGTCCTTTCAGTGTTACCTCCTGCGCACCTGTCGACCCTGAACCCGACCCACTGCTCTGCATCTCCACTGCTCCCATCCTCTTGCCCGGGCTCCCTTTCATCTCCCTTTCTCCTCCTCTCCTCCCCGTTGCCGCCGATGGGCTCCATTGCCTCAGTACCCCTGTTACCATGCCTCCGTGCCTCTCACGGGACAGAACCATCCAGACTCCACCAAGGGCCTGTGTGACACCATCTAGACTCGTCTTTCAAGTTATATTCCACAACACTTTCCTTCAGACCCCTTCAGTCGAGCTCCATGACCCTCCTTTCTGCCCTGCAACCTGCCAACCATGACGCCACCTCCGCTGTGTGGGCCGTTTCCCTTTTGTCCTGTCTCTCCTCCTATTTTTACAAGCCTGGCTTCTGGTTTGTTTTTTTTTCCTAGGATGTAGCTCAAGAATTATTCCTTTAGAGCGGCCTTGCCTGACCACTGTATAAGCTGCTGTTCTCGTTCTCCACCCCAGTCCCCACCTCAGCCACCCGATTTTTAGAAACATTTATTTTGTCTGTATGTACACCACAGTACATGTTTGGAGGTCAGAGGAGAACTTGAGGGAGTCGGGTCTCTCCCTCCCAGGGATCCCAGGGACCAAACTTCAGGCTTGGTAGCAGGTACCTTTACCTGCTGTACCATCTTGCTAGCCTTTTATTTGAGACAAGGTCTCACTTTGTAGCCTTGGCTAGACTAGAACTCATGATAATCCTCCTGCCTCAGGCTCCCAAATACAGGGATTACAGGTGTAAGCCATCCCTGTCTTTCCATAACCTTCCTCTGTTGCTGATCTTTGGTTTCTCTCCTTCTCATCTACCTTAGCAGTGTGAGGAGGGAGCTCACCTGCATTGCCCTCCACACCCTGGGCCAGTGCCTGCTGTGGCGTTGGTGCCCAGTAAGCATGTGTGGCATAAATGCTCAGTGTTCTGCTCTGAACCAAGGGACTGGGTGGAGAAAACTGTGGAAGCCATGACCTGAGTCACCTGGGGTTCGGAGTCCTCATCCTGGGGATGGACCAGGGCTTTTCTATACCAGGCACATGTTCTACCTCTGACTTGTGTCCCAGCCCATTAATCCATGTGGTCACCTCCATTTTTGTCAATGGTCTCATTATTTTGTTAATGTCTAATTCATAGGGATATATGACTATCAGTTATACCTCAAAGCTCATCTCTGATTATGTAAATTTGTAATATTGAATATGCATATTCAACAAAATGTAAATATGCTTTTCATCTCTTTTCATGTTTTTATTTAGGTTCAGCTACTTCAGTGTTAGAGTTTCTGTCCCAAAAAGATAGAGAAAGAATCAAAGAAATGAAGCAGGTCAGTGACTTGAAGGCAGCTCAAGCAAAGGCCAGGAGTCTGGCCCAGAATGCTGCAAGCAGCAGACTGCAGTCCTCCACGCCGGACCTCGGACACTGCTCACAGCATCCCACGTTGGGCAGCTGGTCAGCCGCCACTAGAGCCAGCAACTTTAAGCCTTTTGCTAAAGACCCAGAAAAGCAAAGACGATACGAAGAGTTCCTGGCTCACATGAAGGAGGGTCAGAAAGGTGGGTCGGGGTGAGTGGGTGCTCTTTGTGCTCTCCCAGGCACAGGTTTATGACCCTGCTTTATTGCTCTGCTTCTCTTACTACAAAGGTTTCAGGCTCTGGCACTTGACCTTAGAGAAAGAGTGTTTTCTGCCCAATCATAGGACGGTATAGTTGGGGTAGATTTAGCACCATCTGGGAATAGTGCTTCTAAAGATTAAAAAATTTTTTTCTGACATTTAGTATTTATTTGTGTGTTTGTGTATAAATGTGTAGGCATGTGCATGCCATGGTGCATGTGTGCAGGTCAGAGGACAGATTGATGGGGTTGGTCCTCTCCTTCCACAATGTGGGTCCTGGGGATCAAACTCAGGTCGTCAGACTTGATGGCAAACACCCACTGAGCCATCTTGCTGGCCCTGCTTTTAACCAAGCATTAGTCTTCCAAATGTTTTTCTCTATTTTATGCAGTAGGCAGAATCCAAAAAAGTTTCTTATTAAAGGAAAGAGCAATATTGCCTGGGAGTACCACCCCATACCACCATCCCCATACACACAGGATGCAGACGTGTTTCCCCGAGGAAGCGCACAGGGCTGTGGTGTCCGCCAGGCGTTCTCCCTTAAGTGTCATTCATTTCTTGGATATAAAACAGTGCCTTGAACCCTTTACCATAGATGCACTGGAACGATGCCTGGATCCCAGTATGACCGAGTGGGAGCGAGGCCGTGAGCGGGAAGAGTTTGCCCGGGCAGCCCAGCTCTACGTGTCTTCCCATGTCACCTTGTCCTCCAGGTTCACTCACGCCAAGGAAGAGGACGATTCAGATCAAGTGGAAGTTCCTCGAGACCAAGAGGTCTGTGGCCATCATGTTCCTACCTGGTGAATTTTATTTTATTTTTTTGCAGTTGTAGGAATTGAATCTAGCATCTCACACATACTGCATGCATGCTATAACCACTGGTCTGCATTGCATTCTCAAGCTCTGGTGAATGTTATTTTATTTGCCTCTTCATGGTTTTATACACTAAAGTGTGTGTGTGTGTGTGTGTGTGTGTGTGTGTGTGTTGTATGTATGTGTTTATGTGGGTGTGTGGGTGTGTGTGTATGTACATGTGGAAGCCAGAGATTGACATCAAGAGCTTTCCTTGATTGCTCTGCACTTATTTTATTAGTTCTTTTTTTTTGGACAAAGTTTCATGTAGCCAAGGCTGGCCTTGAACTCCTGATCCCCCTGTCTCAGGCTCCTGGGTGGTGGGATTACAGGTGTGTGCCACCTTACCTGGCTCCATGTTTTTTCTGAGACAGGGTCTCTGCTGAACCTAGAGCTCATTGATTCAGTCCGTGAGAGTACAGGGATCTACGCGTCTCACCTGCCCAGCATTGGGATTACTGACATGTGCTGCTGTGACCAGCCTTTCTGAGGATCCTGGGGATATGAACTTAGGTCCTCATGCTTGTAGGGCAAGCACTACTGACTGGACCATCTCCCAGCCCTGCGGCTGGATTAAAAGCACCATGCAGCTAAATATTTCAAGTTAGTCAGTGACGAGATGAAAATGCACATGGAGTAGTAGAGTAAGAAACTGTGACGTTTAGCTTCCAGGATCGCTAAGCAGAAATGTCATAGCATGAACTTGTTGGTAGCTCAAGTCCAGTGCTTGACTATTTATTTGTTTGTTTTGATGGAAGTGCCAGGACATGAAGATTGACTTTTTTTTTTTAAACATGGAAGACTGTTCTGTGACCACTTAAAACAGAGTGCTGGGGCTGAGGAGATGGCTCAGCGGTTAAGAACACTTGTTCTTGCAGAAGACTGGGGTTTGAATCCCAGCACCCACATGACAGCTAACAGTTGTGTATGACTCCAGTTCCAGGGGATCCGACAGCCTCTTCTGTCTTCCGCGGGCCTTGCATGACGTGTGTGCTTATTTACATGCAGGCAATATAAGCATACACATAAAATAAAAATAATAAGTAAAATATTAAAAAAAAGTTTAAAAAAACAGAATGCCTGTCTTTTCCTAGAATGACATCAATGACAAGCAGTCAGCTGTGAAGATGAAGATGTTTGGGAAACTCACCCGAGACACATTTGAGTGGCACCCTGACAAGCTTCTGTGTAAGAGGTTTAATGTCCCCGACCCTTATCCAGGGTAAGTTGCACTAACCTGTCTTTATATCAGTTAATTTTCCACATTTTTCTTTAGCTCCACTTAATTCATTACTTAAAAAAAAAAAAAAAATCAGATAAACTTTATACCCTGTTACAGAAACTTAATGACAGGCTAGAGAGATGGCTCAGCAGTTAAGAGCACTGGCTACTTTTGCAGAGGACCCAGGTTTGGTTCCCAGCACCCACATGGCAGCTCACAACTCTCCTTAATTCTAGTTCCAGGGACTCCAACGCCTCTTCTGGCCTCTGCAGGCATTGCACATACAGGTGCACTACATACATGCCGACAAAACACTCATACACATAAAATAAAAATAAAATTAAAAAATAAATAAAAATTAATGAGCAACAGGTGTCAGTCCCCCGACTTTTATAGTCTTTCCATCTCTGTGCCTTATATGTAGAGGTTGCATTGTATATCTGTCACTTAGTGCTGGCACCTCCCAGTCACTTATACTCTGTGTTTGACCAGTGGTGGAACTTTGTAGTAGTCTCCATCTGTTAAAGCAATTTTTTTTTGGTCTTTATGAGACAGGGTCTCCCTGTAGCCCTAGTTGACCTGGAACTTACTATGTAGACCAGGCTGATCTCTAACTCACAGATATCTGCCTGCCTCTGCCTCCCAAGTCCTGGGATTAAAGGCATGTACCACTGTGCTCAGCTAAAGCAACATTCTTTTTTTCTTAAAGTATTTTATTTATTATTTTTATTTTATGTGTATGCGTGTATTACCTGCATGTAGGTAAGTGCATCCATGTCCTGCAATGCCCACAGGGACAGAAGAGGCTGGCGGATCCCCTGGAACTGGAGTTACAGACAATTGTTAGCTGCCATGTGGGTGTTGGGA